GACTCCCTCCACAGGCTTTTCCCTCAATCCCTCCTAGAGCCGAGGGCTCCCGATGAGGCTTCTGTTCACTGAGCTACTGCCGTGTACCAAACCACGGCACCGACACTTTGCTGCTCAGTTGATTCTCTGTTCACTCTGTGAAGTGACGGATGAGGCCTCGGAGCCACAAAGAAGTGCAATCCTTTGCTGACATCCACACGGGCAGAAAACACACAGGGCAGCATTAGAACTCAGGCTGAGACTCTCAAGACCACACTTTCCACAATGCCCAGCTACCTCTTTTTCTTATTCCCTTTTATTAAAAAAAATTCAGCCTGGCACAGTGGCTCATGCCTGTAATCCCAGTACTTTGGGAGGCTGAGGTGGGAGAATCATTTGAGACCAGGAGTTTGAGGCCAGCCTAGGCAACATAGCATGACCCCATTTCTAAAAAAATTTGTAAAAAAAAAAAACAATGACCTGGGCATGGTGGCATGAACCTGCAGTCCCCGCTACTTAGGGGGCTGAGGTGAGAGGATCATCTGAGTCTAGAAGTTCAAGGCTTCAGTGAGCTATGCTCACACCACTGCACTCTAGCTTGGGCAGCAGAGTGAGACTCTGTCTCAAAAAAAAAAAAAAAAAATTAGCTCACTATTCCTCTGTCATCTTTTAGAAATGAATGAAAAATAGTTTATTATAGAACTTCCTCTTTGGATTAAAAAAACTAAAATAACTATATAGAAGAATATCAGCTTATGATTTAGCCACTTCTCCTTGCTATGTGGAAAATGTCCTATTTTCTATATGCATTAGAATTTTTTTTTTTTTTCAAAAAAGAAGCAATCCTTAGATTGTCAGTAATCTTCATCTTCTTTTTTGTTTTTCATTTGCAGGTAGTTAGCCTGAGAGTGTCTGTGACAGTCTAAGTGGTGACCCCATGATACTGCTGTTTTTATTCTCTATTCTGTTGCTAGTAATGTATTCTTCATGCCTGGACATGTGTCAGCTACTGATGAAGTGAATTGGCTCGAGAAAGGGCTGGATCTTGTTATTTGCACAGAAAAAACTATAGGTGGCTGAAATCAAATGCAAAAAGGTAACATCAAATGACACATTAAAAAAAAAAAACCCAATAAACAAAAAAACAAAACAAGCAACAGACCATATCCAGAAGTACAATGCAAGAAGTTTTTTTCTTTTTTTCCCAGATATTTCAGGTGGCCCAATGCCAAAAAGCATCTCAATTTCTAGTGGTTGTGGAATCTTCTGGAAAAGAGATCAAAACCAATTGGCTTCCTTGTTTCCTCTCCATGTGTGACACAGAGCCGCACCCACTGGCAGGGGAAGGTTACAAAGCCTGTTTTCCTCACAAGGGTTCCTGCAGCTGATGTGACTTCAGAGACTCCTGCAGCCTGTGGAAACTAAGCACCCCTTCCTGATGGAGTGCACTGCAGACAGGAGGGCTGTCTGTGGCTGTGAATTATTTCACTCTTTGCTCTCGTCCCAGAGAAAAAGCTTTAGGTAGCACTGTTAGTCCGAAAATCCAAGAGGCTTGTCCCTCAGATAAATGAGCTGTGGCACATGTCATTGCCACCATCCTCCTTCCTGGCCTTTTTCTTTTTTCGAATTCGGTATTTTCACCTGTCTTCCTTCTGCTCATTCTCTAGAAGCTCTTCATCCAGTCCTGAAGTGACTGTGAGAGTTTGTAGGTGATTCTGAGGGAAGGGCGACATGTCATTTGTCTGGAAGTTTTGTGTAAGGCTATGGGGGTGGGGGCAGTGAAATGGGTTAGCTCCACGGAGCATTTAATGGCCTAATTAGAACTTGGCTGATCCAAAATATTTTCAAAAATCATCTTCTGGACTTTATTAGATGGTTTCATATTTATAAATATCTGAAATGGACAAGCCTCTAACACTGAGGAGGCCTTTTGGGGTGAAGGCCAAGAAGCTGCCTCAATGCCAAGGCACACCTGAGCACAGGTATGAACAGCCAGGTGCTCTGGATGTCCACCTGCATCCCCCCAAAGATCATCACAATGCACCCCTCAGGCCCGCACCAGAGGCTCAAGCTGCCCATCATTCTGATCACCCAAACTCCCAGTCCCAAATGGGTCCATACGTTCCCTAATATCAGCCAATTTCCACGTATCCCTTCTCTCCTAAGCCCTTTTCCTGAGTCCCCTGAAATCCTGTTCCATGATAAACTAACTCCCCTGTATAAGCAGCCTTTTGAAAGGTTTCCCTGTCCACACTGACTTAACTGACATGGATTCACCTCCCTTGCAGCCTTTGTAAGTGAAGGCTGTTTTTCATTTCATGTTCACATCCTTCAAGGCCAGAGGTGAAGCGGATTGTCTCTTGGCTCCTTAACGATGCCCCTAAACGCTTGGTCTTCCTCTCCCTTGAAAAACCCACCACTCCTCTGAGACCCATGCTTCACCCTCACCTCCTCACCGCTGCCCTCTGATCTCCTGGACGCAGGCGCTCACTCTTGGGAGACTGTAGCTTCAGGCTGTTCTCACCTCTGCTCCGATTCCTGTCATCACTCTGGGGACTTGCACTCCTGTATGAATAAGCCACCATCAACCTATTCTTTGTGTTTTCTTCTCATCCTGCCGACCTCTTTATCTGATGGCAAAATCCCAGGCCTGGAAAATCCCAGGCGTGCACCGCTACAGCTGAACACAATGGCACGACGGCTTTCTCTTAAACAACTGGCCACAAACTTCAAATGCACATTTACAACTTCCTCAAGATTGCATTGTGTTTCTCTAGTGACATGTTTTCTCTTCTCTCTTCCCCCTAACCCACCAAAAAAGGATGAAATGAGATAGTTACAAAAGCATAGGAGACAGAAGTTTTTATATAGTGAAGGTAAGAAATAGCTTTATAAATGTTAGTTACGATAATTAGTAGAATTAAGATAATAAGTGAAGTCGTTATAGAAGAAGAGAATGAATTTACTACTTTTATTTGGAGTTGCACCGATTTTTTGGTTGCTAAGACCAATGTAGGTAGGACCCTCCTCTCTCCAGCCATTCACTGGATGACATGCTTTACATTTCACTGAGAAGAGAGGAACCATGGCTGATGTTCTGATGTGCTCAACAGATCAGGAAGACAGAGCAGTGAAAAATGACATCTGCCTTCATAGGGCCTTCATCTCCATCTCTCCTCTTTGCATCCCGGAAACTGCAAACACACCTGCACCTGCACCCACCCGCTCCAGCCCCTCTCACAACACAAAAAGCAGCCTTCCTCATGTCAGGGGCCGATTCCTCCATCTATGCTGGACCTGGGCCCTTCTTGCCTTCCAAAGTTACTTCCCTTCTTTAGTTCTCTGATCTCCCTCTCAAATCACCAAGAAATTCATCTCTGTGGAATCCTACCTCTGAGTAGTATACAAATTCTGGCACCTCAATCTTTACATGTATAATATGGTTTTCTCTAAGTAGAATATGGAGATTTCTTTTTCACTCCTCTATCCCTATAACCTAGGATGGTACATAGCACATAGTAGGTGCTCAGTAAGTATCAGCTGAGGGAAAGAAGGAAGTGTGTCTGTCTGTGTGTGTGTGTGTGAATGTTTTAGGAAACAGAGATCAATATTGCTGTGATATACCACATTACCATAACTAACCCTAGTAATATTAATTTTGATGATGACTCAATTAAATTTCGAGGAGAATGCAAAGTGATCTAACTTTTATAAAACACATCTGAGGAGATGATTACTATTGGCTTTTTTCCATACTAATTACCCTCTGACTCTAAAACAAATGTGGAAACAATCTGCCAATATTCGTACAAGTTAGAAGACAAGGCTCCATTATCTGAACAGAAATGTCAGGCTAGCAACTAGTGATTGTTGCCTTAAAAAGTCTTTAGGCTTTCACTGGAAAATGGCTGTGAGATCCGGGTGTCTTCAACAGTAGCTGTGTTTCAGAGAGTCAGTTATCAATTTTTACCTGCAGTGCGGGATAACTGATTTTGCTTACATTTGAATACACATTTATGCCTGCTATTCTGGAAACTTGCAATATGAAACAATGAAAGAGGTGTACTGTAATTTGCTAACTCAAGGATGTGGAAGTGATTCCAGGTTCTTATCCTCTCTAAACTAATCCTTTTGCCTTGATTCTCATATTGGAAATGGGCAGTTGCATTTTGCCACATACAGACACCAAACAAAAACACATGAACCAAAAACTCATTGATGAAAGTGAGCTGCCGCGTCTCCATTTGCAGATTTCCTGGTCAAAGTTGGCACAGACAATCTTTAGGCGTAAAAATAAATAACACTGGAAGTCAGGTCAACCAACCTTTTGCTAACTCTTTAGGGTATTTTAAAGATAACTTGACATCTAGATTTAACATAGTAATACAGAGTTTGTAGTTTCACACAGGGATCAAGAAATGTATTTTTAAGCAGTCAAAACGACATATATGTGTACATATATATAATATTTAGCACCCTGAATTATTTACTTAGCACATCTATTTAAATTATGACATGCCTCACTGAGCACAACACAGCACTTGAATAATCACTTTAAACGGCCACCCTTTGTATAGACGTCACACGTTCACATCCGTGTACAAAGAGGCTGCCATGAAATACAGATAACAAACACACAGTACAAAAACCTGGTGAAAAGAGCTCACACATCCACCCGCAGACAGCAACTCAGGAATGTCTGTGACCATCGACCCCTCAGGCAAAATTCATCTCTGCATTTATTTGTTTGCTCATCTGCCATGATACAGTGCCTGCTTCCTGCTTGAGTGTTGAGATGAAATGCACTGGCAGATAGCAGATGTAGCAATTAATAACCTGTCAGGTCTGATGGATAGAAGAGGAGAAAAGCGTCCTCACACATATCTCCGGCATGGTTTTCTTCCCCATTTCAGGGCGCCTAGGGTCAGGAGACATACCTGGCCTCCCTGGGGACCCCAAACTGTCTCATTAGCGTCTATATTTCATGACAGTCTGACGCAGCCTTTGAGATGCTAACTCACCTGCTCTTCTCCCAGAATCCTGAAGTGATGGAGCTCTTTAATCAAGGAGTTGGGACAGCCAGCTGTTGGAAAGAAGAATTAATCACAAAAATGTCATTTTCACTCTGTGTGGTTATACATTCTTACATACAGTTACGACTGTCCACGGCCAGCGTTGCCTTTTGGGAGGACGCAGATGTGCACCTGAAAAACACACATCTAACCAACCACAAAAAAGGCCAAACCCTCCAAAGAGCTATGGCCACGCCTGGCCTCCAACCACACCTCTTTAGAAAACAGTTGCTCGTGACTGGCCAGGGCTTCTCTCCCTTCTGATTATGATCTGGCCTTAGGATATCACGCCACTCTGGTTCTTAGAAACATGTCCAGAATGTCACTTGTTCCTCATGTACAGCCAGGACTCCATGGGGCCAGAGTGGGGGAGTTGGTGACCGCAGGCTCTGACTTATTCGTCATGTCCTGCTTGCTCACTCTCAAGGCCAGGGACCTGCTCAGCGAGAGGTAGGAACAAAGGCAGGGCAGCCAGATGTTCGCTCTTCGAAGGGCTCAGCTGGGGGTTAGTACCTTGCCTGGTTTTGCCAAGAGGCTTTGTGAAGACCTGTGAGATCCTGTGTTTGAGTGTGGAAAGGGCATCTCACAGAAGGACCAAGAGAGAAGCCCCAGCAGTCCTGCTGCCCGCACTTCCTTGTGCCACCCAGTCAATCCAAGCCTCTTTAGGCTTTCACAGTTTCCTTCTTCAGTCGTAAAATAAAGCAAGTAAATAGGTAAATTATATATGTGTATGTGTATGTATATATATATATATGGGAACATATAATTAAAATATAAAATATGTATAAAATATAATTATATTTAATGTATAGATACGTAAAATGTATGCCAATGTACAGATATATAAAATTTTGGCCAGTGTATGCTTAATATCATTTAATTAGATAATGATAACTCATATCTATACATTAAATATTATAAGTTTTATACATATATAACTCATAAAAATTATATATAAATATATAATTTTATATAATTATAAAATTAATATAAATATTGGCCTTGTATACATAAATTATATATAAATATATAATTTTATATAATTATATAATTAAATATTGGCCTAAATATATATATTTACAATAAAACAACATATATAATATATATTCTATGTAAAATAAAATACAGTTGACCCTTGAACAACATGGGTGTGAACTTTGTGGGTCCACTGATACACAGATTTTTCTTCTGCCTCTGCTACCCCTGAGACAGCAGGACCAACCCTTCTCCCTCCTCCTCCTCAGCCACTCGCTGTGAAGATAATGCAGGTGAAAACCTTTATGATGATCCACTTTCACTTGATGGATAGTTAATACATTTTCTCTTCCTTATGATTTTCTTAATAACATTTTCTTTTCTCTATTCACTTTAAGAAATATAATATTTTATATAATCTATAAAACATGTGTTCACAGACTATTTATGCTATAGGTAGGGCCTCTAGTCGACAGTAGGCTATTAGTAGTTAATTTCTGGGGGAGTCAAACGTTCCACATAGTTTTTTTTGACTTAGGGATGTCGGTGTTCCTAAGCCTCCATTGTTTGAGGGCCAAATGTATAGATACATAAAATTCAGACCAGTATATGCTTAATAGTAGGTAAAATGCGTTGCATCCCTGTCTTTTCAATAGAACTATTCCTTGATATTAGGTTGTAGTCCTTTATGTTATTATTTTTTTGAGTCAGGGTCTTACTCCAGGCTGGGGTGCAGTGTGTAATCATGGCTCACTGCAGCCTTGACCTCCTGGCTGAAGGTAGCCTCCTGCTTCAGCTTCCCGAGTAGCTGGGACTACAGGTGTGTGCACCACCATGCCTGGCTAAGTTGTTTTTTTTCCTAATTTTTTGTAGAGATAGGTTCTCACTATGCTGTCCACGCTGGTCTCCAACTCCTGGGCTCAAGTGACCCTCCCATTTCAGCCTCCCAAAGTGTTGGGATTACAGGAGTGAGCCACTCTGACAGGTTCAGTTATCTTATTCTCTCTGGAAACAAAATTGATATAAAAACCTGTTTCGTTGAGATAAGACCTATGGAATACATAGTCTGTTTAACTTCCTATTAAAGAAACTGGATTGCATGCAGAACATATGAACTAAATTATGGAGCCATTTCTCATATTCCTCAGCATTGTGATGTGAGAGTGGTCAGAGGCCCTGAGAGCGTTTATCTGGGGAAGGGCAGGCTGAAGAATGGGAAAACCCGTATTCACACAGGTGAACGTGCCCATTGCAATAAAGATCGATTTGTGCATTGTTTTACAGAGTAGGATTTAACCAACAAAAAATGGAGTAAATTGCCTTATAAGCTAGTAACTGGAGATTCTTCAACACAGGCTAAATGAATACTTGCACAAGATACTTTAGAGAGGAATTTTACTGGGTATGATGATGAATTTGTGTGCCTACTTGATTGGGCTAAGGGGTGCCCAGCTAGCTGATAACATGTTATTACTGTGTGTGTGTGTGTGTGTGTGTGAGAGAGTGTTTCTGGGAGAGACTGAAACACTAAATCAATGGACCAATCCACTTAACTCAATGGACCAGGAAGACCCACTCTCAGCAATGTTGGCAGGCACCATCCCATCCACTGAGGGCACTTTGAGCATGACAGCCTGCACAGAACAAGGGGGCAGAGAACAGCAAATTATCTTTCTCTTCTGGAGTCTCAGACATCAGATTTCCTGTTCTCAGGCCTTTTGACTCGAAGACTTACAAGATCCCCAAAACCACCGCCCCTAGTTCTCAGGCCTTCATACTCTGAATGAATTAGACCAAAGGCTTTCCTGATTCTCCGGCTTTCAGAGACTGCAGGACTGCTTGACCTCCATAATTGTGTGAGCCGTTCCCCTAGGAAATGTCCTCCTGTCTCTTTCTCTATAGATCCTATAGAAATCCTATATTTCATACTTTGAGAAAGTGCTTCATAAATGTTTACTGAGTAGCACAAAAGATTATAAAAATGTGAACAAAATTTAAATACAAATGTAAACAGGTGATATCGCCGAGAAAATAAATAGAAATTTCGAGGTGAATATTTTAGTAGAAAACATAATACATTAGTCGCCACAGGCTCATCTGGTACTGTAGAGGAGGAAAGCTAGATCCTTCAAGTGAGACACAGATGCTTGAGCCCAGTGCTTCTCCAATGAGAGGCCCCCGAGGCTTGCAGGCTGGAGATTCTTTTTGAGAAGGTGTTCATTTTGGGGCTGCTACTCGGATGATTATCTAAACAATAGTAAAAGTATATTCTGGATCATCTGATTGGCTTCCATTTAGCCAAAAACTGCTATGAAATTCAGCATCAGCCAGGCGTGTTGGATTCTGCCTGTAATCCCAGCACTTTGGAAGTCCAAGTCTGGTGGATCATGAGGTCAGGAATTTGAGACCAGTCTGGTCAACACAGTTAAACCTTGTCTTTACTAAAAATACAAAAAAAAATTAGCCAGCTGTGGTGGTGTCCACCTGTAATCCCAGCTACTTGGGAGGCTGAGGCAGGAGAATCGTGTGAAATCAGGAGGCAGAGTTGCAGTGAGCTGAGGTCACACCATTGCACTCCAGCCTGGGCGACAGTCTGGAGTGCAATACTCAGTGTAAAAAAAAAAAAAAAAAAAAAAAGAAAGAAAGAAAGAAAAGAAATTCAGCCTCATGTCAGTTCCTGTGCTTTTGATCTCTTTGGGAATAAGTCCTCATAGTTTAGTTTGCTGAAATGAATGAGAAAAGAGTGGACAGAATACAATGGAGGGTTCCCCCGCCAGTGACGTCCCATGGTCTCTATGGTCTGGGGCCAAGTGTCCCAGGGGTTGACTTACAGGAGAAGTGGTGGGGGAAGGGAAGCAGCCTGCAGCTTAAGGTCCTAGCCACACTGAGATGGAACGTATCTGGACCAATCCATCAGGGGCCTGTTCGGATCTCAAGCCTCGCTTTAGTGTCAGTAAAGTGACAGCTGCTGCCATTGCTGCCATGTTAAGGTGATAGAGTCCATCAGAATATTTTGGTCTTGTACTTTCCGTTGTACTTAATTGACATGTTTTTATTTGGGCCTTTCAGTTGTATAAGCATAAAGTGTTTACAACTTGGTTTACATCTAGATGCATTTACGACATATTGTCTTAAAAATAATTTCATTCAACCTTGGGTGTTTCAGAGAATGTTTTGTTTCTTTCCAAGTGGTATTTTATGTCACTCAAACTTGAGAAAAATGGCTTTGACTTATTTTAATTCTGGGTAAAATAAGAAACAAAATTTTAAATTAGCTTATCTTCAGAATTTGTATTCTGGCAGTCTCCTAAGATGCAAGTGAAAAGGCCGATGGTGATGGTAGCTCATATATAAACATCTTCAACAGAAGACTGGATGATTACTTGAAACACCTGGTGGGTTCAGACCACCACCACAGCAAAAACAGGACTAGAGACAGCACAGAGTTAGATGGGAACAGCTGGAAGGGGTCAAGATATTTAAGAAGACCTCAGAAGGCTATCTGCAAACATGCTCATCACAGGAACATCAGTGTGGGGAAATGGCCAGATATAAACTCAGTGTGCTAAGATGAAGCTTAAAAATAACAAAACTAGAACTGCAAGACGGGCACACAGAATGCATTCGTGTAGAAAGACAGGAAGAAGTTAGTGGAGGGGGTGGAGGTGGCAGGGAGGAGAAAAATGGGCCTGACGAATAAAAACCACAGTACTACTTCCGGATTTAGAGTTAAAGATAGCACATCCAATCTTCCCATGCCCTTGTGCATCACCTCCCTCACTAATGGGTTCTTTTGCATCCATTTTTGGTAAATCCGAATTGACTCTTAATGACCGCACATCACTTTATGTAATGAGTATTCCTTACGTAATAAGTGAGTAAGTGCTCACATGATTTTTTTCTTTGGGTGGCTGAGGGATAAAACTGGTATAAAGCTCACTGCTTTTCAACATTTGAGATTCAATCTTTCCTCATTCTGAACTCTTTATCATATCTCAGAGATTCCTGGCAGCATCTCTGAAACATAATAGAAGTG